AGCGTCTGTGGAAACATGGCTAGTTCTCTAGAGTGAGAAATGCAACCTTAATTGAAAAGCCTTTTGCGGAAACAATTGTGGACCCAAATGATTTTAAACATTTTGAACTTCTACTTGATTCAGAAAATTGATTAAGTACATGAAAAATATCTATAAGAGCATACTGGAGGGAAAGTCTGTTTACTTCTATTCGATTACTGTAAGTTATTTACTTGCTTTTACATGCTTATGCTTTAATTAATTTTGATGAACACTTCACAAGCATCCACATCCATTTCTAATAGTGATAATGATCCCAGATTATATTTAGATGAGAAATATATTTCGTTTTTATTTAAATTAGCTGAAAAGTCTGAAAATATATTTTCTGTTGGCCAAGAAAAACTTGAAGAAATATATAGAGATATAGATTATTATTGTGAGCATAATATAAGATTTGAATATGTAAGAATTAGTAGAGAAATAAAAAAGGTAGAAAATATTATAACTAAACATAAAGATATAGAAGAAGAAATTTCAGAAAGAATAATTTTAGGATATATAACTAAGAAAGATCAGTCTAGAATCTTTGAAAAATTATCAAGATATAGAGAATATTTAGAGATATTTAAAAAATTAAAAAATACAAACATAAGTCCTGATTAAAAGAAATATTAAAAGATACAGGATACATCTTGCAAATAATAAAAGTAAGGGTAAAATAGTATTTTCTATTGTAAAGGCCATTGTGGAAAACAGAACAAATAATCTAGCCATTCTGAAGACTACCCATGTACAGAGACCAATTTCACAGGCCTTTTCTAGAATACACACATATGTGAGGTCCACATTTTTTAAAAAAAAAATACATGTGGGGCCCCTGCACAGTGAGGGGCTCTGTAAAACTTCTGTGACCCAAATTCTATACACTGGGCATTAGTGATCGTTTTTTCCCTCTATATTCCTTTGGTTGATGTTTTACTGTTGAACGTTTTTTGATTTATAGTGTTAAAGGGATAAATCCACGTCGAATAAAGATAAAAACATAAATTAATTTATAAGGGTTATTTCCAATGGAGATCCCAAAACACCATTTTGCACCATGACTTCAGTATTGCACCATAGTTTGCACCATTTTGGTGAGTACATTGGATGGTGCAAAGTCATTTTGTCGTTCTCTTTCATTTTTAAAATATATTATTGAGGAGTATTTGTATCATTTTTGATATATATTTTTGAATAAAATAAATAAATTTTCAGAAATTTAACGTAATTATTTATAACAAATTAATAATATAATCAATTATTTTCGTCAATTTAACAACGTATTAATCAATAATATTTCAATATTAAGAAGCCAAGGCTACGGAATATGCTTGGGATGTGATTGAAAGTGTGACGTAAAAAAAAAAAAAATAAAAAAAAAATTGAATGGCTGCTGCTGTTAATATATAATTGTTCGTTATCAAAATAATGAAGGATTGGCCTTTACTTGTTCTCTGGATCCGACAGCTTTTCTTTAAAGCTACCTTGTTGAAAGTATTGGACAGAAAGTTGAATATAATTGCATATGGTGGTAGAGGATTAGAAAAAAAAAAATTGACTTTGTCTTAAACTATCCAATTACAAGATATCATGTGCCATTATGTCAAGAAATAATTTTAGCCATCACTGAACGTCTCGAATTTTGAAGCCCTAAGCCATTACGTTGTGGTTTTGATCCAACGCTAGGCTTGCTTGTTTTAGCTCATAAGGTATTTTGAGGTATACAGTTTGAGATCATGTCAATCGGGAAGTAACATGTCACTTTCGCGCCTCCTTTTTTTTTTTGTGGTATTTGTTTTAACTATTTCAATTTCATAAAACTTATTAAATGTAAGAAGTGATGAACTACTAGGAATTTAGGATGTTAATAATTAGAGATGTTTAGATTGTAAATTTCTGCGACATACACATAACGTCTAAATAAAAGGGTAAAATGAAAAATTTCTTTATTTCAAAAGTGTGGATGTACAACACCAAAGTTTTTATAAAGGCACCATAATTTCTTTAAATTTCATAACCTTTATTCATTATTATATATATCCCTAAATTTTGTTACATCACATTTTTTTTCTTAACATTTCATTAGTTACTAATCCGTCCTTAATGACCTTTTTTATCCAAAGGTTTTATTAGCGTATTTTGAAATGGGGAACAAATATTTATTGACAATTTTGTGTGTATGTATTTATTTATTTATTTTGCTTAATTGGGACATAAATAAATCTTTTTACTCCCTCTTAATGAAATATTTAAATAGATTAGTCATCAAGGATAAATCATGTTATTTAAGGAATGATAAGAATAATTATATAATTAAATGGTAATATATTTACATGTAAAGTAGTTAGAGTATTTCTAAAAGACTTTTTGAACAGAATATACTTTTTGTTTTAAAGAGCCAATTCTTAAAATCTTGCTCCAAGAGGCTCTTTAATTTAACATGTTAGTTTAGAGAGTGAGTTTGACTCTTCAAAATTAAATGTATTCAAAGTGTTTCAATTTTCAACGTAGAAAAATAATAAAATATTTTTGAGAAAATCTAATTAAAATAAAAGATAGAGGCTAATAACAAATATATTTTTTGGGAATAATAAAATTAAGTATTAGATATAAAGAATTTGTGTCCAAATGATAGAGTGCTCATTGCGTAGGAATTTTTTTAATTGATTTTTTGATCGTTAGAGATAAAGTAAGTTTTATCTTAAAAGAAGAATTAAAAAATGACGATTGAAATAGTAAAATAACGATCAAAAAATTGATTTTAATTGACTTTTAATCCTACCAAACATGCTCACAATGTGTTGTTAGATTCCTCGGAGAAGTCAAATAAGGGCGCCAAATTCGCGCCCATTTCTGTTCCTAAAATTTGATCACTCTCCCCACTTTTCTTCCTCTCCCTTTCTACGTACAATCCCAGTTCACATTTCCAATTTTATGTATTTTTGGGTTAATCTTTGGTGGATCAGTAACAATTATATCGGCTACTCACAAAAATTTATCTGTAAATCCAAGTGATGGGCGAGTTTTTCAAGATCTGGAGAGAAAATTTGCTGGATTTTTATTCGAAGATTTTATCTTGGGGGCGAAGTTGATGATAGGCCGAAGAATTCTGGATTGGATTCATCTATGGAGACTATGCGGATGATTGGGACAAGTAGGTTTAGCTGGTGGCTACCCGCGATTGGATGATCCTTCTAGTTATAGAACCCCTGTCCAAGATATTGACCAGGTATGGTTCTTAATTTATCTTCTTTGCCGTTGATTAAAATTTTAACTACATTTGAAAGAATTGATTTTATACACCAGGTAATTGGGGTTTGTAAGAAATGTCTATAAAATAAGGGCTTTATGACTTTAGGATCCTCTCAATTACTTCTTAAGGTAGTCTGTGCATTTAACTAAATGTAAGCGCGTTCATATTTGGAGAACTGGGACACTTCTAGTTACAGTAGTCAATCATTTATTTGGTGAAATGTGCTATGGTGAGGTAGATTTGTGGCCTTTTGAGCTTTATTTCATCACCATCCTTCTGCAGCTTGTATAATCTCATCCATGTCAGGAATGCCAGTGTTGTGATTCTTGCAACACCAATGATCTATGTCTAATAAGGGCTGATTGTCGTAGCATTTACCATATCCAGAACTATGCACAGTGCTTGTGAAATTAATTTGTGAATCCTAATACATTTTCGTAAAAATTTGTAAAGCGATTGTACTGAAACCAAAGGCCTCTTGTTTCAATATTTTGGTCTGAATTCAAGCCGTACTCCACACTGATCCCAGTGCATGTCAATAAGAGACAAAAATGTGACAATTCTGTCCGCTAATGTACCGTAAAATGAGCCCCAACAAAAATCCACTGGCTTTCTGTGAGTAGTTTCTAGTTTCAAACCCATCAATTTGAAATTTCTCCATTTGCCAATCTGCTTCTACCATAAAACCCATCAATTTTGATTACTAGTGTTTGTTGACAATGTGCATTTTAAAATTGGCAGCATCCTCAAGCTTTGTCTACATTTTTCTAGTCACATTTTACACAGAAAAAATGATATGATCAAATGTTGTTTGTAGTCGAATATTTTGCATGTCCTTGTATTAGAGCTAGTCATTTCTCCTTGAAATAAAAGTAAGAGGCAAGATATATGGTCCATGTTAAGAACACTAAACAATCGTGACTGAAGTTAGGGAACATATAGGCATGTTCTGATATTTCCCATCTATATTCATGTATTATTTGACTTGTTTGCTTTTGCTATTACTGTGTTGAAAAGGTAACAATGATACGTGCATGTGCCATCGAGTCATTTCTTTATCTGCAAATGATTTGGAAAGTTTTCCTTCAAGGGAATTTCTATGTATTGGCAAGCTTTAAAATACAGATTCTTCATGGAAAATTTTACAATTCAAAATTGATCAAGAAGCTTAGTATCTTTTTCTGATCATTGTCATTTTGTTTGTTCTTTGTAGGCCCTCATTTCTTTGAAGAAAGGTACACAATTAATCAAGTATAGTAGGAAGGTGAAGCCTAAGTTTTGCCCATTCAGACTTTCTCCAGTAATTATTTTCTTTCTGTCTAGAGAATCTGGATACCATGTTGACAGTTATACAGTTATATTCTACTGCAAGTGAGTTCATTCTAAGATGTCTGGAAAGGTGTACAAAATATGGAAGACTCTAGAAAATCTAATTTATAAAATGACCTATTTTTCTTCCTTGTTCTTTTGACGTTTGAGAAAATTCAACCTTTTCAAGTTTCAGCATTACTATTTGTGCCCATAGAGGATATGAGTAGGTGTCGGTTTGCATTCTTCAGCCTAGTGGTAAAACCTATCTATTTGCATATCGATGTCCATTTATTACTTAAAGCATCTATTTCTTATAATTTACATAAATTTGGAATTCTAGTAGTAAACTTTTACTTCACATATATGCATGTATGTGAATGTTCATAAAATCATAACATCCATGTCACTTAAAAATCCAACATGACAATGTGATATATGATTCAATAACCTGAAGTATATGGATGCTTAAGATTTTGTGCTATTTCCAGGGTGAAACAACATTAATCTGGTACTTCCCACGGAGCAGAAAGGAATCCGAAGTTATCTTCTGTTTCAAGGATTATTCCTAGATGGAGAACTGTCAGTTAGCACATCTCTTCGTGGTGCATTATATTATTATTCTTATTACTTGCTTTGGCTTATCAACTACGTTCAATTGTCGACTAGAGGAACTGAAAATAAATTTTCTGTTCTCCATATGTCTGTACAGCCTGTGTTTAAACGATTTTTGCGCCTAGAGAAGGAGTACTTGTCATTTTCACTTATCTATAATATCGGTGAAAGATCTCTTGATTTGTTCAGTCAAACAAGCAATATATTTTGTACCTACTATATTTTAAGTTGATTTGACATTGTTCATGGCAACTTATTGCTGACTAATTGCATCTTTCTAACTTTATAGATCTGCAAGGACAAATTTGAATCAGAGGCTTGGCTTGTTTCTACAGGGAAACCTAGTAGCAGACATGCACAAAGTGACATTTCCGACGTAAAATTTCTTTCGAGCCCTTTTTTGGGAGCAATCTATTGTTGTTTCCTTTGTTCATTCTGCCACATTTTCTGTCAAATGAGAATGAGTAGTGCAGATGGCTTCGGAATTAGTGTCTCAAGTTCTCTCAGTTGTTCAAGTCAAGGTTCTGGACCATATGACATAGAATCATTAGGAGATATTTATGTCGGGGAAGATTTGGTCTGATGGAGGAACCAGAGATGGAAATGGGTATCCAATTCCCATAAAAAGTGATTTACTGACACATAGACCGTTGGAGACAAATGTAAAAAGTGATGGATGATTAAAGCTGCTTCATTGGCTTCTGACGGATCTTCCAAATGTAAAATTGCCATGCAAGCCAGCCTTGAAGCTGATTGTATCTCAAACACATCATGGCTTGCAGTATCATGCCTATATTTATCTGACACAGCATCTTAGGGCCAGATAAATTTTTTTATCTTATTTCTCAACTTGCGGATTTTTACATGTGTGCTTGTAACTTTTGATCACTCATATACCAGAATAATACCACAAGTTCTAGCTGGAAAACTTCGCGATTTTCACTTAACTTTCAGTTTTTTGTATTAAATTTTTCCAACATTCTCACCTCGTGTCATTCATTCGGACCAAACAAATTGGCAAGACTTCAAGTTTGCATGTCTTTTACTCTTGTAATGGACCTACATTGCACTAATAAACATGCATCATCCTTTTCTCCTTTTCGGTTAAAAGAAATTACAGCGAAGATACCTCCAGAGATTTGTGAGAGTGAATCAATTAAAGCAGTGCGTTCTCAAATTTACTCTTTTCTGGACACAGTCCGAACTCAAGCATCTGAACCAGAGTCAACATCAGAAGATCATAATGATGCTGCACGGGTTCGGAACTCATCACAGAGTGTTGATGGAACTCCACAGGAATGCAATGGATCTTCTGTTTCTGACACGAGTTGTAAATCAATTAAATACAGAAGATATATCTAGGACGCCTGAAGCTGCTAGAAGTGAGGGACGAAAGGAAGTTATTGAACAATTTGAACCAGGTGTTTATGTTACACTCGTTCAACTTGTAGATGGAACCAAGTTATTCAAGAGGATTAGGTTCAGGTACTTTTCATGATATCTTTTTTCCTATTTCCAGTTCGCAAGTTTTAAACAAAGAAACAGGTTCATTCTGAAAGATAGACACATATATGATTACAAGAGACTCCATTTCTGACTATAAAATCTTGGGAATAATCGTAGCATGCATAAACAACTTGATTCATAAAATTATAGGCATGCCTCAGGAAGAAGTGGATTAGCCTAAATTTATTCTGCTTGCTCATGCTGCCAAGGAAAAACTGAATGTTGTTCAGTATGTACTTTCTTTGTGCATCTGTTTTCTGACTCTCTTTACATAAATTAAAACTAGGATTCCAGTTTACTGCATCATTTGTGCACTCGACTATTTTACACAAAGCATCGAGGTTCGCTTCCTTTATCTAATAAATCTAACCCAAAAGCTCTAACATACTTGACGACATTTTGCTAATAGAAAGTTAATTATGAAAACAGCAGATGAACATTAATGGAGCTTTTCTTGTCTTAATACTTACCATTACTGATCTCCAAATTTCTACAGCAAGCGATGGTTTGCCGAGCAGCAGGCAGAAGAATGCTGGAAAGAAAACAAAGATAGGCTGCGTAAAAAGTACAGTCCACTGCCAAGAGTAAATAGTATACAAACAGAAGTAACTGCTGCAGCTCAACCAGTAGCTGAAGAAAATAACCCAGCAACATAATCTTCATAGAACTGATTAATTTTGTTAGCTATATATACTATTTTTGGTGCAGGGAGTAATTACTTAGCTAGGTAAAATTTATAGCCTGCATTTGGAGTTCACAACCATGTAGAGAAACCATATTTTTCTTTACCCGCATAGTAAAAATTTTTTGGAAAAAGAATTAGAATGGCATTTAACTTTCGTTTATGTTAAATCTTGTTGTAACCTGCTTTTATCTCGTTTGGTAAGTTCTAGTATAACTTCTTGTTTTTGAGTAATAATCTTAATTTTCAATATGTTACATATTATTTCTTAGGCTCCACTTTGATCTAGCTTTCATCAATCAGCACCTCTAGTTTCAAACAAGATATCACAAACATGAATGTGTACAAATATAAATTGACATATGCTTTTAATGGTGAAAATTGTCAACCGACTTCTTGCCAAGGTAGGGTAGGGCGGTCAGGTCTGGCTTGGTGTTTGGCAATTTCTTCTTTTTCTCCATGAGGTGTTCAAAACAAGCACTGTTTAGTATCCATAGCCATCAAAGGGAAGGGTGGTGGCCGATTCTACTCTGATAGTTGTATTTGCCTTTTGGAAGAAAAAAAGAGAATACTTGAACGATACTAATGTGTTTATATTTCGTATTAGAAAAACATGTGGAATGAATGTGTGGCATGGGAGACTTTCATATTGCATTTGACTGAACATCTTTCACATCGGACATTTCGTTAGATAAATTAAAGGATTTTGTTAGGTCTCCTCTTTGTAATTGGCTTTATCCATATCCAAAATCTCGGTTATTTGAATTGTAATTAAAGTCAAAGAATTGGGGCTTGGTAGTATAGGTATTGAAGGAGTCTAAGATGTCAAAGTTGTCCAAGAAGATCATATATGATCAATGGAATGCAATTCGAAATCAAAGGATTGTCAAAATGTCACACAAGTTATGCTCCAAATTCTCAATCCCACTTGCAATGCGTTTTTCACATGAAAAATATTCGAATTTTGATATAGCTCTTAGAGTTATCTTTTCAACGCACTTTGATCATCTCAATTTGATAACTGAAGAGAAAATTATGATTAAAATACCAATGTTTGCTTAGCTGCCGTGAGATAGGTGGTCAAGCGATGGTTAACGTCCAAGAATATCTGTTGGCATAAAACACTAATTTTTCAATTCTTTTTCATCCCAAAACACTTTTTCTTATGTATATCATATCCTATGAACATCCCAAAGTGTGTTGAATCATAATTACTCCATAGAGATCATTCCTTTGACTATCTAACCACCATATTATTGATTTCAAAATTCAATCACTGTATTATTTGATTTATAGATTTATCCAAACTTAGATTTCTTGGTCGAGTTATAAATATTCACATTAAACCATGGATCAAAACACACAAGATGTTTGATTAAATATCAAACTTACGTTTGCCAATTAGCCTTCTGAGTTACTGGAGTTTTTGGAAGAGACGCTGGAGTTTCGGCACTGAAGAACGAGGTTCATTCTTGAAGTCCACAGGAGAAAAACAATACAATGGGTTGAGAGCTGGAGTGAAGAGCACACAGTCCAAGAGGGTCAAAGTAATTATAAGAAGAAGGTCAAAGGAGACTAAGGGTTAGTCGGGTCTGGACCGTAATGTAAGTCTCATCGTTTATAGTGAATTGTTGACTGACAAGGTGCCTGAAATTTTTGATCCTTTGCAAAAGGTTTTCTCCGAGATCATATTGATGTTATTTACTTTACGCAGTTTACAAATTGTGACATTCATACATAAGATAAATTGACTTGTTTGATCTAGTAATTTAGAAAAATTAAAAAGTGAGTTGTTGATTTTAATTGTGTAACTCCGCATGTTGTGTCTAAATTTGCTAATTAAAACTTGAGAGTGGTATCAAGCCTTAACTACATTCATTTACCCTATTTTGTCTAGATGAGTCAATCACATCTTATGTAGGATCTAAAGATGGTAAAGATATATATGAGGAATTTGGCGAATTATTTGGGGAGTGCCTTAAGTTGAAAATGGTGAATAGAGGCCTTTAAGAAACTACTTAAACTTGAATTAGAAAATGAGAGTTCAAAGGTCAATCTCCTATCCCGAATGAATTCAATGCACATAGTTTAAGCGTGTTCCACCTAAGAAAACGCTGTATGATAATCATGATAGAAGAGTTCGGCTGTGTGATTATTGGAAAACTAGCTCCCCGTAACTCATTACCATGGGTCGGGGCTCGAAGTTGGAATTCAATATCTACAAGCCTGCCCCTGAGAGCGAAGTTGGAAAAATCTCCGTTGCCGTATCCTTGGTATCCCTTCTCAATCCCAAAATGTTTGGTAATGGGAAATCATTTGGTATTATCTCGATGGTACAAAATGTCAAAAGCTATTTGGGATCTCGAAAACAACGGTATGAACCCACCATCTCTCTAACGAGATCGGGTATACCTAGAATCCCGTTTCCAATGGAAGAAAGCTAGCCCCCTATCGATAATTTGCCTCCTCGGCCGACTAGTAGATTGAATGAATTAATGATTGAGAGAGAATCCTTAGAAATTAAGGTTAAATCTCTTACATCTGATATTGAAAAATCGAATGCCCAACTTCAATCCCTCTCTAGTGGATTTCAAAAAAAATTTGATAACATGGTATGTTTGAATAAAACATTGGGGATATAAAAGGTGTAAGTTTTAATGAAACAAATTCTCATACCGCTTCTTCGAAAAATAAGTTTGTACCTACCTTGAAACCTAAGGTTCATAACTTAAGACTTAGAGTTACTCCTACGTTCATCACCAAGTGTCATCATTGTGATAAGGTAGGACGCAAAACATCTAAGTGTCGCGAGTTGTTGAATAGAAATGATACCAAGAATGTAGGTGTCCGAGGATTGAAATCATCTATACAACATAGATTTCCTCTCCTAAGGTTCAAAATATGAAACCTGGGGTTGTTCCTAAATTTACTCCCACGTGTCATAATTGTACTATTTTAGGTACTCTACTAAATTGATGACTCAATTGACTCAAATTACATCTTCTTCTAGGAAGATTTTGGCCAAGAAGAGTGAACTCACAAATCTAAGTGAGTTGATGATTGCGATGTTCCTCATATTGCTCTTCATGGTAAGATCACTTGCGTACATAATTAATTAGGCACTTATGTGCATGCGTCTATATTTTTCATGATATCTATATATTCGTGCTTGCACATTCATTCATCGTATATTAGGAGTTTCCTTTTTACATGTCTGCTTTATTATAAACATAAAAAATAAAATAATTAAAAAAGGGAGATTTATTTTTTATTTTTTTCCTTATTGTACATGTTGTTTTGTGAACAAGTAAAGTTCATGATTGGTGAATTAAATTTTTATTAATTTATTTTACACTTGTTTAGAGTGCTTGGTATATGTTATTACATGTATCTTCCACACTGCATGCATTTGACTCTTGTGAGTAATTTTTGACTGTATGTTTGAAATTTGAGATGGCGATCATTTGTGTGGTAAATTGACTTTGAATATGAAATTACTTTAACTAAATTGACATAAGCTCTAATATATTCCCCAGAAAAGAAAAGGATGATTGAGATTCGAAAAAATTGAAATATATGAAAAAGTGAGATACATCTTATTCTTTCTTAAGAACTTATTTGACTTGAACAATTAAGTTTGAACGGTTTCTCAAAACCTTATGCTCTATGATCATTTGACTTTGAGTCATCAGTCCAAAACTAATTACAAGGGTCATCTTAGTAATTAATGGAGAACAAATTACTCATAAATTATAAATAAAAAAATTGAGAGAAAAATATATATGTGCTAATTGATATGGGAAAAAGAAAAATTATATATTGGAAAACCAATATAAGCCTTTTATTGAAAAGGTCATAGTAGCACCGGGTTTGACTTCATGCTTTGAGGAAAATATTCATTCATAAGTAATTTTTTTGCATGTTCTTTCTCATTGGTTTAAGATTTTGAAACTTGCTTAAAAGAGTTTAGTTGCACTTTTCACACATGTATAGTTTATAAACTTTACTTCATTTAGATTTAAAATAAGTTACGTGAGAAAAGTTTATTATGTATGAATTATACTTGTATTAGTAAGCAAATAACTATTTAACATGCTATATTCAAAAGATCAATGAAAAAATAAAAATAGTTTGTATAAAAAATGGAAAATTTTTATTCTCCTATCACATATCTTGCAAAATTATACATGTGCATTGTTTTAATCATTTCTCTCTCATTTTTCATGATTATTTCTAGTTTTTTTTTTTTTTTTTTAAAATTGTGACAAAAAGTGGAGGGATTAATATTTATTTCAGGGAGCTGAGTATAAGCATTGGGGGAGAATTTTAAAAATTTGATATTTTGGATTGATATTTGACTTAGGGGGAGTCAAATGAATATTTATGTTGGAATTTATTATTGATATTGTGTTTTATGTTTTGTCACTATTGATATTAAAATTCTATACTTTATTTCTAAGTTAGTAACTTACATGGTATTGCATGTTTTGGTGTTACACATGCTTTACTTATGTTGTTTTATATACCTTAGTTATTTAAATGTATTTATTATCAGTTTTCTCTTACTTTTCACGTGATAGTGTGATTTTCATATGTTTCAGGAAACAGATTGGCTGATTTTTGAAGTAAAGTTTGGGAAATGTCTATTTGGTAGACGGTTTTGTACTTTAATTTTGAAATAAAAGATGTTGTCATGAAATGTCAAATGAGGAGTTTGTTAGGTCCCCTATTTGTAATTGGCTTTATCAGTATCCAAAATCGAGTTTATTTGAGTTGTAATTAAAATAAAAGAATTGGGAGTTGGTAGTATAGGTATTGAAGAAGTCTAAGATATCAAAGATGTTCAAGACATATGATCAATGCAATCAAATAGAAGTCTAAAAATTGTCAAAGTGCCGCACATGTTATGCTCCAAATTCTCATTCACAACTTGCAACGCGTTTTTCACATAAAAAACATTCGAATTCAGAGAATGTTATTTCTAGAATAATTATAGCTCTTCAAGTTATTTTTCCTAGGCACTTTGATCACCTTAATCTGATATCATAAGAGAAAGTTATGGTAAAAATACCAACGCTTGCTCAGCTGCAGTGAGTTGGCTGCAAGGTAGGCACTCGAGCATTGGTCGACTTCCAGAAATACCTATTTGCTTAAAATATTGTTTTTTCAATTCCTTTTTATCCCAAACACTTTTCCCTATATATATTCTACCATATGAACGTCCCAAAGTGTGTTGAATCATAATTATTCCATAAAGATCATTCCTTTGAAGATCCAACCATCGTATTATTGACTTCAAGACTTAACCACCATATCATTTGATTCATAAATTCATCTAAACTTAAGCTATAAACCTTCACATTAAACCACAGATCAAAACACATCTTTGATCAAACACCAAATCTACCTTCGCCAATTAACTTTTAGAGTTGTTGGAGTTTTGGGAAGAGAGGTTTGGTTTTTCGACGCTGAAGAACGATGTTCGTCCTTGGAGGTTCACAAGAGATAAACGATACCAGCAATCGAGAGCTAGTATGAAGAGAACGCAATTCAGGAGGACCAAAGTGATTACAGAAAGAATGTTAGGGGAGACTAAGGATTAGTCGGGTTTGGATTGTAATGTAAGTTCTATTAGTTATAGTGCATTGTTGACTAACAAAGTGCTAGGAGTTTTTTATCGTTTGCAAAATGTTTTCTTCATGATCATATTGATATTATTTACTTTATGTAATTTTACAAATTGAGGTATTTAAACGTAGGATAAATTAATTTTTTTGATCTAATCATCTAGAAATATTTAAAAAGTGATTTGTTGCTTTTAATTATGTAATTTCGCATGTTAGGTCTAAATATTCGGCTACTTAGGACTTTCATATTTGACTAACAATATTTTTAATTGAGTTATTTTGATATTATAAACTTTAAAGATTTGTTACCTAAATAAAATAAAGTCAAATTTATAGTGCTATATGCATATGTGGTAGGACCGTCAATTCAAATTGAACATCTCAAATTCTGAACTACTTAAATCACTATATCTTAAATGTCAAGTGATAAGAGAAAGAAAAAAGGGGGAGTAGATAGACCCAATGAACGTCGAAAAGTAATTTGAAATTTGATACACTGTGATTTATGTGGACAATTCAGTTTCATGTACGTAGTCCCATCTTATTGAAATATTCTCAATTTGAGACCCTACTTTACATAAATCTTCGACACTTCTCCTCGTGTTACTCTCCAACATTTCTCTCATTCTTTCTTTTCTTTTGGGTTTTTTGTCAGCCATCTTAGATAAAGGGTTAAATACTTCTAATTATCTACATTGCTGACGAGTTACAAAATATATAATTATATTTAACGAACATGTCAATGTCAAGTTTAATGGTAAGAGCGAAGTCTTTTGGATTAATGGTACGGGCTTCGAGTCCCTTTTGGGAGTTGAGATGAAATCTTTCAATCCCCTATAAAGCCAAAAACAAAATCTAGGACTAAATATACTTTTTATTTTACATTTCGCCCTACTATTTTGTAGAAACTAATTTTATAACTTATATGAAAATTTTTACACGTAAGTATTTTTAACTTGTATGCAAATTTTTACTTATAAATGAGTTTTTAACAAATAAGTGAATTCATTTACATGTATATACATTTTTTTACTTAAAAAAATCTTTTACTTATAATTGAATTTTTGCTATAAGTGATTTTTACACGTGAATAATTTTTTCAGTTTGTAAGTTAAACTAACTTGTAAGGATAATATTTAGTTCTTAGTTACGTGTAAGTAAATTTACGTATTTCGATTCAACTAATTTTTTCTACGTTATATAATCTAAACCCTCTCATATGGCATTTTAGTTTTATACAATTGAGTAAATGATAATTACCCCTCCAAATTAATTTGATCCACGTATAAATAGCACCAAATCTTGTATAAAGATTAAATGGGATTAAATTAATCCTTATCCAATTTACTACAGTGCATACATGCCCTTAACATTACAATAATTCTGAGTTACAGAAAATGTTCAATGTAATCCGTTCTACATTTTATACATAGAAAAAGCTGAAGTGCCAAAAGAGAGGCACCAGATGGGCTGACAGAACACTCACAAAGTCGGGCCCTGCATGAATAAACAAATGGAAGGAAGAAGTGGCCCCACACCCCAAATGTGAGGGGAGGTAAGGGCTTCTGTTATGGTTCTTCTGGCAGAGAAGCATGGTCCTTTTATACATATATTTTGAAGTGCTTTTTCTGCCCATGATGGGTCCAAAATCAATTAATTTTTGCCAAGTGTTGTTCTATATAAATTCAACCACTTTCTGTATACCTGTAGCATAGCTCATATACTTTTTGTTGACCTCCAAAATTCGATAAATCAAGTTGTCTACAGATTTCTTGCCATTTCTAAATTATCTTTTACTTGCGAACTTGGACATCATTAGCATGCAAAGGTCTTTGATCGTTGTCACAAATTAGTTTTGCTTGATTCTATTTTCTTTACAACAATTATTGCATATGTTGTGGTGGGCTTCTTGCCATATGGCGGTATAAATCCTCTTAAATAAGACACATTATACAGTGGGGGTATACAAAATCACAAAATTCTTATCCTATTTGAGAAGATTTTCGAGGACCCTTCCTTAAATGTCGTATTTGGTGCCTGCCAAGAGAGAAATAAAAAGAGAATTTTCTTGAAGTCCAATTGCTTTAACCCTTTCGGACGAATGTAATTCAGACTTGCAAATTACTTTAGTGAGTCTTCTCTCACAGACGATATAAGTGAGCCTTCATAAATTAGCAAACTGGTCCGACTCAGACAAACTGTCTAGACACTTTCATGAGACACTCGTATTTCGAGTAAATTCTTACTAAATTTTAGGGAGACTCATATCGACATGCTGAGGTCAAGCCTTTGGTTTTTTTTTTTTTTTTTAATTGTTTTTTTTTTTTCATTTTTATTACAAATCTTTGACTAATATTCCTCTTAAATTTCAAGAAACTTCACTAAAAAGTATTTATTATTCGTACAAACATTGTCAACTCTTGCAAAGGTTGACTATACACGTCGACTGCACAACTATAATTCAGAAACCCACCATCTCAGACCAATTAGCTTTAACTTAATCACGTTGGAATCAAAACACTAAAAATCTTCAGAGAACAACGTTTTCATCTCCAAACAAATAAATTTATTTTCTTACTCGCCGCCGGTAAGGAGAAAATGAGTTCCGGGAAAAATCCGTTGAGCCATACTACCTGTGCAGTAGTAGAGAAAATAGAGCTTGATAATCGAATTTCTCTTCGGTATTACTATAGAATCGCCGATAACCTTCTCCAAGAGGTACCATTCTCTATTTTTAATGGGTTTCAAGAATAAATTTGGGGTTTGACTTTTTTTTTCGTACGTCATTATCTGAATGTGAATTTTAATTGTTTTAAATTTCTCATACTATGAGCTGATTTTCTTTCCATATTTGAGCTACGTGGGATTTTGGACGAAAACGTACTTATATATTCATCCTAAATTTATTGAAAATAAGGATTCGAATTTATTTGAGTACAGACATAGAAAATATTAGGTGTTCCAAGCGAATAAAAGGGAGGTAATTGAAAAAAATGGGAATCGAATGGATTGATAAAAGATGTATTTATACCAATAATTGATTTACTTGAGTTTTTGATTCAAGATTCAATTTACTGCATTTATTTTAAACTCGTCTCAAAGTCGGAGTTTTTGAGATCGTGTCATGTTCTAACCAACTGACTCGGGTGTCAATGGGCTGAGCCAAGCCAGCTCGGTCCATGAACTCTCGAGCTTGGCTCGGCTCAGGCTCATCCGGCCCCAGAGCAACCCATGGGCCGAGCCGAGCAGACAAGCTGCTCATCCCAATTGCCACCCTTACTCGTGGCCCGACGAATGAAGGGACTGGAGATATGGAGTAAACAAGCTAATGTAAAAATATTCACCCAGTTATGAAAATTATTCAGATGGTAGATATTCTAATGAAATAAAAGATGAATAACGATCATGCAGTTAAGCATTTCAAATGCTAGAAGTATGGGGTAAAAGAGATGTCAAAACTTAAATTTGCTATAAATTTTCATTCAGGGAAGTTTCTCCCCTGTTTAAGCTACTTATCCGGCTTTTCTTACAGGCAAATATTCATCGGCAGATGAAGAATATCGTAGATTTGTATACTGCACTACTTAAGTTTGCAAGGTAAGAAAGTGATATTAGGTGATTTTTGCATATTTAACAGCGATTTGAGATAATTTATGTGTTGTTTTTCTTTTCTTTCGAGGCTACAGTCTAATTTCTGAAACCATACCTATTCATCGAGATTATATAGCTTCAAATCAGGCAGAAAAATCGTACTACAAAAAGGTGAGATAATAAGCTGCGCCCCCTATCCACGAGTGTTATAGTTGTGATCAGTTTACAGGAGATGAATTGTGAGTGGTTGCTATTGTCGTAACAGAAATTGTTACTCGCACTAGAAGAAATGGAATCTTTGAAGCCACAAGTTCAAAAGCGAGTGAATGAAATCCGAAATGGCCATACTCCAAATAGCCAGCAGCGAGTTGAGAAACAAGACACAAGTCGATCTGATAGGCCAAATCCCACCACTTCCTTGCACCTTGAAATTAAACAGGTACATGTGGTAGAAAATTTAACAGTATTTAAATTTTGTCATTGTTAATTTGTTACTTGGGAAAACCCTTTTTTTTTTTGCATGGTCCTACTTTTGGTTGTTAATGCTTTTATTGATTTTGTTTCTTAGAATTGGGGTACATCAGGAATACCTACTTCTCCAAGGGGAAGTAGAACCGAGCAGAAGCACCAAGAACGGGGATCTAGCTCCAGTACAACTCGCTACATGCATTCCCAGAATTATATTCCTGCTCGATATGAAACACCAGTTGCAACCGCATTCCCATCAGCTCCACCAATCGAGAGTGTAATCATAGACAACAGTCCAATTCCCTCTCATTTGATCGATTCAGATACTGTTGATGCGACATCCTCAATGGTAGAGAACTTAAGTGTTAAAGCTGTTGAAGAGAAAGGAAATACCACTGCGTCTGCATCATGTGCGATATGTTTGGATGCCCCAATTGAGGGAGCTTGTGTACCATGTGGTCACATGGCCGGGTGCATGTCTTGTTTGAACGAAATAAAAGCCAAGAGAATGAGTTGCCCTGTTTGTCGGGCCAAGGTTGAGCTGGTTCTGCGTCTGTATGCTGTTTGAAGAATATTGTCAATTCGATGGGTGGTGAATTTAAGGTACATTTTGAAAAGGCGTTGATATGTATGTTTGCATTTTATGTTTTAGATTAGGGATGATTATGTAAGTCATTTTCCGTCCCTCCATTTGTTATATCTGTCTCTGACCTTTTGAAACATCCGTAAGATCAAATCTTTTGCAACCCTGTGAAAGCATGTTAATGAAGTTCATGTTCGATATGATAGTTTGTTTGTTATTGTTGGTGTTGAAAGTGTCGACTTCCTTTTTCTGCTTTCTCAAACGCAAATAGTGTTGCATTGTTGATACAATATATCCTTTTAATTCTTACCATTAGTGACGTCTTGTGAACCATAATTCTTACGTCTCTTCTACTACATACGATGCAATTTTAATGTGAAAATTTTAAGTTCATAATGTGAAACAGGGCTCAAATTCAAGAGTTACATTTGTACGGAGTCGCATGATAAGTTCATCTTGATGGAAACTGCAATTTAGGCAATTTGTAATCAAGTAAATGATTCACGTGGCTAACTTCAAATTTTGTTCTAAAGTGAAGACTTTCTTAGTTTTCATCTCTTCTTGTATCGTATAATTCTTTGTTCTTGACTAGGAAATTGACTTAGAATCCTCTATTTTGTGTATTACTCACTTTTTTGAATGATTAAACTTGTGTAATGAATCGAATGTAGAGACTTATCGCATTGATTTAGTCTGTGGCATCACTTGAGCACAAAATAATTGAAGTTTGATTGCCCTGGAACAGATCCAATGGAGATGGGTGTTAGGTTTAATGCCTCAAAATTAGGTTGAAATCTTGGAAGATCACGTTTGGCTTGAATTTGGAAATAAATCAAATTACATTCAAGATTTTTTTCTTTTTACGCGGTTTAACCTAATTTTAGTATATTTTCTTATCTTTTAGGACTCCATTAGGTTTATGAACGTGGCCTATAAATTAGAGACTCTTTTGTCTGTTTTATATGAAGCATTATTGTTGTCCTGTATTATTTTCTCCACATTGTCGAGTTTAATAAAATTCATCGTTTATCTACTTAGTTTCTCTTTTTCTACTTTACTTTAATGTTGTTTTCGTGGTTCGATCTCGAATTTCATTATTGCCTCTAAATCTCAATCTTGCATCGTCTTTGGGATCAACAAGTGGTATCAGAGCACGGGTTGCAGGTTCTTTGTGATTTGGTTGAGATTTTTCGAGGATGAATTCGTTGAAATATGAAATTTCGCTGCTAGATCGCAATACAAGATGTTCACTGTGGCAAATAAAGGTGAGGGCTGTGTTGACGCAGATGGATCTTAACGATGCTTTGCTAGATTTTGAGAGGATGCTAGCAAATTGTCTATGGAGGAGAAACAACGGAGGGATCGAAAGGCTTTAGCACATATTCATCTTCACTTGTCCAACAATATTCTGTAGGAAGTCTTGAAAGAGACGACGGCGGCTGCTTTGTGATTTAAGCTGAAGCAGTTGCGCATGATAAAAAGTCTGACGAGCAAACTGACTCTAAAGCTGAAGCTGTATTCTCATCGCATGGCGAAAGGAGGGTCACTATAGGATTATCTTGCTATGTTCAAGGAGATTGTTACAGATTTGGAGACGTTGGAAGTAAAATATGATGAAGAGGATTTGGCATTGATCCTGTTGTATTCGCTATCCAGTTCTTTTTCGTTGTTTCGTGATACTATATTGTATAGTCGTGACAGGTTGACTATTGAGAAGGTATATGAAGCTCTGTTCTCAAAGGAAAAGATGGAGCTGTTGGTTGGAGATCCTACATCTAAGGATGGGGATACTCTGGTTGCTCATGGTGATCAACATAGGGGTAGATCGAAGGTGAGGTACAACAATGTATATTGTTATTACTGCAAGAAGAAAGGGCACATTAAGAAAGATTGCGACAAGTTGCAGGATAAAAGTGATTTACATGCAAATCATGTGAGACAATCAGGTATTTAACGAGACTAACATTGTTGAGAATTTTTCGAATGATGGAGATGTAATGCTGGCTGTATCTGATGGGGAATTCAAACTTGAGGAGTGGATTATGCATTATGCATGTTCGTATCATATGTGTCCCAATAGGGCTTTGCTTCAGACATATGAGACGGTGAAGCAAGGTGGAATTATCATAGGAAACAACCAATCTTGTCGAGTTGTAAGAATCGATCGGGTCAGATTGAGGCTACAAGATGGGACAGTGAGGACATTTGATCAGGTTCGCAATGATCCCAGACTTGACAAAGAATCTCATATCGTTGAGTACCCTAGATGCAAAAGGGTATAAATTTTTTGGTGGAGGTAGAGTCTTGAAGGTCGGAAGGGTGTCCAGGTTGTACTGGATGGACGGAAGAAGTCTCAGTTGTACATCTTGCAGGAGAACGCAGAACCAGTTAAGAGACATTTGGACAAGTTCAGTATCGTGGTGGAAATTCAGTTTGATACAATACCTCTTGTGACGAGCTCTGAGTTGGTTAAGAACACTGCTAAGAAGAGCATTGGTGATTCCGCTTTGCCACCAATTTCAGCGGATACACTGTATTCAGTTGCTAGGGTTGGACTCATGGAGCGTAGGTACGGTGGTGTCAATAATGTCTGGAATGCTTTAGTGGACTTTGAAGGTGACAGTTCTAGCAAGGGGCCTTCTGATCCAGCATGTGGTATGATTTCTGCTACATGGCGTGCTTCGACCCTGTTTGATTAACAGTAATTCCTTGGTGGAATTTTGGGAACCCAGAATTTGGGTTTGGTGTCGCTTGTGGACGCCGTACAGAGAACGATATTTTGGTGATGGAGATTTTGGTTACTGTGTTAAGGAGATTGGTCAGTTCATTTCGAAGCAAACGGAATTGAAATTTTAGAGTTTCGTTCGTTGCATTGGAATTTTGAATCAAGGTGGAGATTGTTAGGTTTAATGCCTCAAAATTGGGTTGAAATCTTGTTTGATCACGTTTGGCTTGAATTTGGAAATAAATCAAATTCCATCGAAGATTTTTTTCCTTTTACGTGATTTAACCTAATTCTAGTATATTTTCTTACCTTTTAGGACTCCATTAGGTTTATGGACGTGGTCTATAAATTAGAGACTCATTTGTTAGTTCTATATGAAGCATTATTGCTGTTATGTATTATTCTCTCCATATTGTTAGGTTTAATAAAATTCATCGTTCCTCTACTTAGTTTCTCTTTTTCTATTTTACTTTAATCTTGTTTTTGTGGTGGTATCTTGAATTTTATTATTGCCATTAAATCTCAATCTTGCACTGCCATTGGGATCAACAATGGGTGGCGCTTGTAGCTCAAAGGATTAGAGCACGTGGCTACGAATTCGGTAAAATGAATGAGAGAGAGAGAGACACCATTATGGCTCACAATTTATGATCATTCCAATAGTATCACATGCATGTGTGGTTCTGATATCACTTGATTTTTCCTTCTTTTATACTCTTTCTTTAATAATGTTGAATTCTATCCCACATAACGTCCTTAACATGTCGAGCAAACCTTCCCTTCTTTTATTTTCTGAATCCTGTCCATGGATTCTTTCCTCCAACATTAAGATTCAAAGGATAATTATTACCTCAAACTACATTTCATTTTTTGCTTAAACTTAAGTCTCTTTTGCTTTGGCTTACATTTTATTCGATTTGTTTGCACTGATAGAATATTTAACCATCTAGAAATCATAACCGTTCGATATTGTGATACAAAGATTGCAAAAATTTCATGGCGTTTTTGCATCGTGATCTCAAGATTTCTTTCTTTTCACAGTTTAGATGATTTTTAGGATTTCAAATTCTCTGTTTTTTTACTTATATATAGAAGATATAGAATTAAAAAATAAGATGGGATTGAGCACCCAAATAGAAACGATTTATAAGAATTTTTTAAAAGATGCATAATACTGGTATTCATTGCAGCTTTATTCTTGAAATTTTGTAGCATCCCTTCGGTGATGGAGTTTGACATTCTTGAACAAAAATTAAATTACAAAAAATAATAATAAATGCAAGCAACATAACATTGATGAATATAATTCAATACATTACTACAGACGATGCCTAAGCATTTCCATACTTTGAAATTGTTATATATCATTATCAATATTATCAAATATATCATCCTAAATATACACAATTAGATTGTCATTCAACCTTCAAATCTCGAATCCAATTGCATGGTTCAAATCCTGGCTTGAGGGCCTTCAAGCATTTGGTGTTAGTGGAGAAAAAATGTGGCCAATCACTGGTATCAATATTGTAGATAGCAGGGCGAAAAAAGACAAATGATTTGGTAAAAATGACGAACATAGGTACTATAGAAAAATTGTATTCTGGGCTCGAGAGAAATGAACCATGCTAGAAGAACTGCACGGGTGATCGCGCGGTTGACATAATACACACACAGGAGGAGGAAAATATTTTTTTACTCATGCGGGACCCATGCCTCGGTTGTGAGTGTGCGGTCATCCATGGGGTCACCGATGCCGGTCGTTTAGCATTTTTCGAGAGAAATTGGAAATCATAACCGTTCGATATTGTGATACGAAGATTGCAAAAATTTCATGGCGTTTTTGCATCGTGATCTCAAGATTTCTTTCTTTTCACAGTTTAGATGATTTTTAGGATTTCAAATTCTCTGTTTTTTTACTTATATATAGAAGATATAGAATTAAAAAATAAGATGGGATTGAGCACCCAAATAGAAACGATTTATAAGAATTTTTTAAAAGATGCATAATACTGGTATTCATTGCAGCTTTATTCTTGAAATTTTGTAGCATCCCTTCGGTGATGGAGTTTGACATTCTTGAACAAAAATTAAATTACAAAAAATAATAATAAATGCAAGCAACATAACATTGATGAATATAATTCAATACATTACTACAGACGATGCCTAAACATTTTCATACTTTGAAATTGTTATATATCATTATCAATATTATCAAATAGATCATCCTAAATACACACAATTAGATTGTCATTCAACCTTCAAATCTCGAATCCAATTGCATGGTTCAAATCCTGGCTTGAGGGCCTTCAAGCATTTGGTGTTAGTGGAGAAAAAATGTGGCCAATCACTGGTATCAATATTGTAGATAGCAGGGCGAAAAAAGACAAATGATTTGGTAAAAATGACGAACATAGGTACTATAGAAAAATTGTATTCTGGGCTCGAGAGAAATGAACCATGCTAGAAGAACTGCACGGGTGATCGCG